CAAGTTGCTGTCCTTTTGTTCTTCAGTCTAGTTGTGGAGGACGTTGCTTCACTGGCCCAAGTTGGCACCATCATTGCACTCTTCCCGGGCGAGGCACATCAGTCGCCGGCTTCTGGACAGCTGCTCACTGCTGCTGCTGGCCGCTCACGCTGGCTGCTGGCTACACACGGTAGCCCATGGCAACCCACCTGCCCTCGCTGGTGACTCACGGCAGCCCAGCTCCAGGTCGAGCTGTTGTTCAGCATCTTAGCTTGGAGGGCAGTGTCACTGGCCCTCATATGTGGGATCCAAACCGGGGCCCTCTGGCGTCCCAAGCCAGTTCTTAACCATCGCGCCACTCGGCCAGCCTTGTGTACTTTTTTTAGCACCCTCTGTATATCTCAGACAACAGGCACAGCTTGGTGGAGAGTTACTATACATAACACCAAAAGCGTGATTCATAAGAAAAAAAAATCAATGCATTGGACGTCATTAAAATTTTTTGATCTGAAAATAAATTTTTCTTTTGATCTGTAAAAGACCCTGTTAAACGGATAGACCCTGTTAAACGGATAGAAAGACAAAGTACGGACTGGGGAAGAAAAACAATTTACACAGAACATGGGTAAAAAACATTTCATCCAAAAGGACACATGGATGGCAAGTAAGCACGTGAAAATACGTTCACCAGTGCTAGCCATGAGGGAAGTGAATGAACACTACACACCTATTAATTAGCACAGTTAAAATAGTGACAACACTCAGCAAGAATGCAGAGAAGCTGCTCTCTCAGACATTGCTGGTGGGAATGCAAAATGGTGTAGCCACTTGGAAATAGTTTGGCAGTTTCTTAAAAACCTAAACGTACACTTACCATATGATTCAGCAATTGCACATTTATCTCAGAGAAATTAAAACATTCACGCAAAAAATTAATTTCACTGAAATTTAAAACTTGATAGATTCAACAGTAGAAGAGAAAATTCATAGCTGGACAGTATGAAAGAGGAAGGAGGAAATGACAGGGCCCCAAACTTGAAACAACCAACCTGACTACAGTAGGCAAATGGTTACACTCTGGTCCGTCCGCAGCGTGGATACAGCTCTGCAATAAAAAGGTGCAAACTACTGACCCAGAACAACCTGGATGGACCTCAGGGCACTACACGGAGTGAAAAAAGGCCAACTCAAAACGTCACATGCTGTGTGGTTCTGTTCGTGTGACATTCTCAAAATGACAAATGATAAAAGAAGTAGAACAAATTGGTGGCTGCTGGGATCAGAGATGGTGGGGGAGGGATAGGTGTAACTACAATGGGGGAGCACAGAGAAGATGGGTGTGGTGGGGGACAGTTCTGTACCTTGATGGCGGTCAGCAGTGGTTACATGAATCTACACGTGTGACAAAAGGTCAGAGCTCTAGACGCACTTTCTATCAATGTCAGTTTCTGGGTTTTGATATTATAATTATGGAAGATGCAACCATGGGGGGAAAGTGGGTGAAAAATACACGGGGTCAGTCTGTACTATCTCTGCAACTTCCTGCAAATCTACAATGGTTTCAAAGCAAAGTTTTCAAAGATGAAAAAACACACCAGGCCCAGAGAGTTTTTTATAGGCAAGTTGTAATAATTTACCGTAACTGTTCCGGAATAGGAAAATGAAGTTAGTTTTATCTTAGGGTATGAAAACCCCACAAGGACAAAAGAGAGAAAATCAGGGCCCAACCGCACACACGTGAGAGCAAATGCTCAGTCCACTGACATTGAACGTAGATGTTAATATATCAGTATGCAAGTTCAACAGTGTGTTGGAGCAAAAACTAACAAAACCTCACTGACCAAGTGGAGTTAATCTCTGGCCCCCAAGGATGGTATTTAACACCAACGTGCTGAAGTAGTAATTTAGACGGGGTAATTCAGAACAACCCGTCTGGCGGGATGTCTGACTATGCCAGACAAGATATAATGTATTCAAAATATCTTGGTCAAAATCCAGAGGGAAGCCGGGGTGGGGGGTGGGGTGTGTGTGTGTGTGTGTGTGTGTGTGTGTGTGTGTGTGTGTGTGTGACACACCAGTAAGAGGGCAAGCTGGGACACTCAGGCCGGCACTCCTCCATGGAAACGCTATTCAGAAACACACTCAAAACAGTAGGAAATTTCCTGGTGGCTTTGCTTGCCCTCCGCAGTACAGCTCCGAAGCAGCCAACGAGTCCCTGGCCCCTCCCTTGGGATGGAAGGGAGAGAGGGGGACTTGCTCGCAGCTTAGGGACTGTCTCTCCTGACTCAGAGTCCTGCTGAGAACGGTGGCATAGTCTGAATATCAGGGTGGAGGTTGCTGAAAGCAGTAGTGGGTGATGCTGCAAGGGGGTCTGCAGATCTGCCGGTGGCTGGGGGCAAGGTTATGGGCAGAGGAATATAACACCACATCTAAACTCCTGGGAAGAGCGGGGTGAGACTCCTAGGGAAATCAGGACATTTAATAGTGTATATTGGGGAAGCAGAATTACAGCCCACTCACAGGCCCGAGAAAATACAGCCCCAGCAAAGGTTTGAAAGAACCCCGAGTTGATGAGTGAAGGTTTCCCCTTGCACAGGGACAGGCTACAAAGGCTGAGAGTGGTAGGTGTTTTTACAAATGCCCAATTTCAACAAAAGATGACAAGACACAGAAACAAACAGGGAGACGGGCCCATTTAAATGAACAAAATAAATCTTTGGAAACCAACGCTCATGGAGCACAGGCCTCTAACTTGACAGGGACTTGAACACAACTGTCTCACATATGCTCAATTAGCTAGCCCAGGGGTCAGCAAACTGCGGCTCGTGAGCCACATGCAGCCTTTTAGGTACGTTCCGTCTCAACCGTTTGCCGACCCCTGCAAAAGCCAATCCTGTCCCTCACAATTTAAAAATTACTCAAGAGCCATAAATATATTTTTACATAATCACCATCGTGTGAGTAATATCCTTTAAAAATTTTATAAATGAAACTATGATAGCTTTATTTTCATTTTCAATTTTACCTCAGAGCCTGCGCCTGGTGAGCCGCAGTTTGCTGACCCCTGGCGGCTCTTCCGTCTCAACCGTTTGCCAACCCCTGAGCTAAAGGAAGGGAACAGGACAACATATGAACAAAGCGAGAATATCAACAAAGAGACAAATTCTAAGAAAGAACCAAACAAAATCCTAGGGCTGAAAAATACAATAATTGAATTTATGCTGTCTACAAGAGACTCAATTTAGATCTAAGGACACACATAGGTTAAAAGTGAAAGGATGGAAGAAGATATTCCATACAAATAGTAACCAAAAGATAGGGCTATACTGATATCAGACAAATAGTATTTTTAAAAATTCTATTCTAATAAAACTGTTACAAAGAAGACAATTATAAATATATATGCACCAAACATTGACAGACTTGAAGGGAGAAAAGGCTCTAAAATAATAGTAAGAGGCTTCAATACCCCCCACCCCCTTTCAATAATGGATAGGACAACCAGAGAGATCGATAAAGAGATAAATAACTTGACCAACTGTTAGATCAATTAGGCCTAACGAACTTACATAGAACCCTCAACCCAACAGCTGCAGGATATACATTTTTCTCAAGTGCACATAGAACATTCTCTAGGATACAACATATGTTAGGCCACAAAACAAGTCTTAATAAAATTTTAAAACTTGAAGTCATACAAACTATCTTTTCCAATCACAATGGAAAGAAACTAGAAATCAATAGCAGAAGAAAAACTGGAAAAACCCCAATTGTGCAAAATTAAACAACACAGTCTTAACCAACCGGTCAAAGAAATCACAAGGTAAATTAGACAATATCTTGAGACAAATGAAACTGAAAACACAATCTACCAAAACTATGGGATGCAGAAAAAGCAATGTTCAAAAGGAAATTTATAGCTGTACATGCTTACATTAAAAAAACTGGAAAAGATCTCAACCAACACCCAAAATTTACACCTTATGGAACCAGAAAAACAAAGTAAACCCAAAGCTAACAGAAGGAAGGAAAACGTAAACATTAGAGCAGAGATAAGTGACACAGAGAATACATAAACGAGAGAAAAATCAATGAAATGAAAAGTTGGTTTTTTGAAAAAAATCAAAATTGACAAACCTCTAGCTGGATTAACTTTAAAAAAAGAAGACTCAAATAACTAAAATAAAAAATAAAATAGGGGACATTACAATTAATTTTTACCAAAATAAAAGGAATTATAAGAGTACATGACCAATCGTATGACAACAAATTGGACAACCTAGATGAAAAGTGATACATTCCAGAAGCACATAACCGGCCAAGACTGAATCATGAAGAAATGAAATCTGAACAGGCCTATAACTAGCAAGAAGATTGAATCAGTAATCAAAAACTTCCCAACAAAGAAAAGCCCAGGACCAGATGGCTTCATTAGTGAATTCCACCAAGCATTTAATGAACAAAAACCAATCCTCGTCAAACTCTTACCAAAAACTGAAGAGGGGAC